AATTCATGGATACAGTACTCATGTTGTTGCATCACTGGAGCCTCTCCATGTCCCCTCAACTCAAGCACTCTATCTTCCTCACATGTGCCATTGCATCTTTGTTTTGAATGTATCTAACCAACCACAGTCCGTCGTCTATTACTCCCTCCATTCGGGTATAGTGTATGGGAAGATATTCCCGGGGCGTAGGGAGTACATTATAAGTAATAGGCGCTACTAGCTGTCGGGAAGATTGCAGTAGGTAAGAGATGGTAGATTTTGATGATTAGGGCATGTTCGTTATAAGATGCAGCAAAACAAGTGTGAAGATTGGAGAGCATTTCTATTTAGGGGACGAGGAGGAGAGGCATGTTACGAAGGAGTTCCTGGCCATGCCATATTAGAGTTGTGTAATACATAAAGGGTCCGTTTGGTATATGGAATTGATTGATTTGGAATTGAATTGAAATTGAAATTCCATGGGATTCAATTCCATATAATTAAATTCACCAATTCCAATTCATTTTTTGCACTATCAATTCCAAATCCACATAATTTTTGTGTTGCCAAACACCAGAATTGGAATTGAGCGAGTGTTATTGGGGGCAGGTCCAATTTAGTTCTCTGTTGTTTGATGTTGTTCAGTAAACATAATATCCTCTTTGTTTTCTATCTTTTGTTTCTCCATTGCTTAATATGCTTATATTTTTTCTTGATTTGTTGCTTGCCTGCGATCTTTATTTGTCTACGTGCATATCTTTTTGTGCCTTTACATGCACTACTTTTAAGCTCCTCTCAAAAACAACCTCCATTATCTTTAGGTTAGAAATAAAGTACTTATATCTCTTGTTCTCCATACCCTATTACATACTGTGATATATTCGGTATGTTTGGTTTGGTTTACTTGCATTTTATCATGCGGCAGTTCATAAACCAATTTAAATATTGTGTTAATGATATTTTGATCGATCTTGCATTAGTTTTATGGAAGTGATGATTCTATAAGCTCTGAGATAGATTATTGATGATCAATGATTCATATGAGTTGTTTTTTGGTGGTATATTGTTTAATTTGTTGAAATGGGGTTTAAACTTGCTATGAAGAATAAGATAACCTGTTCTTACCCAGACAACTCTAACGAATTCTGCTCAATTTACTAGCATGAGAAAGTATATACTCCCCTGGTCCGAAAATAAGGTTCCCATTTGATGTTGTAGGGTCAAAATTTAAAAACTTTGACCAAAAAAATTGAAAAGAATCGATTGCGTAATAAAGTAAATTTAATATCATTTGATTTGTCTTGAAATGTAATTTTGAAATGCATTTTTTATGAAACTTATTAATGTATAAATATAGATATTAATGGTCAAAGTTTCACAATGGAGATTGTGAAAAGTCAAATGGGAACTTTATTTTAGGAAAAAAGGGAGTATACTAAATTGTACATGTTTAGAAAATGATGTACCACTTTCGGGGTTCCCTATCAAGTGTTTTTACTTTTCTCTCAATTTTAGGATGCCCATTTTCTTTGCTTTTCCCTCTTCGTTGTAAAAGTGATACCCTGTATATACTACTCCATCTGTCTCACTGTTTTTGTCCCATTCATTATACACAGAGTCAAACTAAATCTTCTTTACAAATTGTCATATATCATTTGTTTTAAAAAATATATTCATGTCACCTGTTGTTTTGTAGAACTTTTGATGTAGTTTTTGAATATGTAATTTCATCAAAAAAAGATTCAGTCAAACATTGTAAACTAAAAAGAGACAAAATTAGCAGGATGGAGGTAGTATTCTACACGCTTACATTTGGATGGGATTTTGGGTATATGTTACATATGCCTTTGTAGGTATTCCATTTCTGAGCTAGGTAATAACTTTACCATTTTATAATTTAACAAATTGGAGCGTCCTCTCTTTTCAGGATAGGCATCCCAGAAATGATGAGATTGCACATGAGCATCTAAATATTACCCAAGAAATATCAAATGCTAGATCATATGCCAGGCAATTAACAGAGCAGATGACACTTGCCAAGGCATATGTGGTTATAGCAAAGGAGCGCAATAACCTTAATCTTGCATGGAAGCTTAGCATGAAGATTAGAAGTGGCCAATTATTGCTTTCAAAGGCTGCTATGAAGGTGGACCCCATCTCTTCAGATGAAGCTGAACCGATCATCCAAAGCCTATCGTCTTTGATTGTTGAGGCACAAGACGTGCACTATGACATAGCAACCATGATGATGACTATGAAATCTCATATTCAAGCTCTAGAAGAGCGTGCAAACGCGGCTTCTGTTCAGAGCACCGCGTTTGGGCATTTACTTTCTGAATCTCTACCGAAAAGCCTCCACTGCCTCGATATCAGTCTCACGACTGATTGGATTAACAACAAGGCATTAATGGATCTTGCTGATAAAATCAGAAACTCTCCCCGTTTAGTGGACAACAATTTGTACCATTTTTGCATGTTTTCAGATAATGTGGTGGCTGTCTCAGCTGTGGTGAACTCAACTGTTTCCAATGCTGATCATCCCAGGCAGTTGGTTTTCCATATTGTGACAAACGGGGTCCATTATGGAGCAATGCATGCATGGTTCCTTAGCAATGATTTTAAAGGGTCTACCATAGAGGTGAAGAACTTTGAGGATTTCACTTGGCTGAATGCTTCTTTCTCTCCTGTTGTCCAGAAGCATCGTTCTTTGTTGAGTCACCTTCGGTTTTATATCCCAGAAATCTATCCCCAACTGGAGAAGGTGGTTTTTCTTGAAGACGACGTGGTGGTGCAGAAGGATCTCACCCCACTTTTCTCACTGGAATTGCATGGAAATGTAAATGGAGCAGTGGAAACATGTCTGGAATCATACCATCGTTTCTACAAGTACCTCAACTTTTCAAACCAGCTCATTGGGTCAAAGTTTGACCCGCAGGCCTGCGGGTGGGCATTCGGGGTGAACATTTTTGACTTGATCGGTTGGAGGAAAGCGAACGTGACCGGACAGTATCATTACTGGCAAGAACAGAACAGTGAGGGGAGCATTTGGAAGCTGGAGACCACACTTCCTCCGGGCCTATTAGCTTTCTATGGGTTGATAGAGCCATTGGATAGGAGATGGCACGTTCTAGGCTTCGGACACGACATACATATAGACAAGCACTTGATCGAAAGTGCAGCCGTGATTCACTTCAATGGGAACATGAAGCCATGGCTGAGCTTGGGCTTTAGTCTTTACAAGCCTCTGTGGGAAAGGTATGTGAATCACAGCAACCCATTCATCATGGGTTGTTTCCACCATTAAAGCTCCTCACACCTTTTACAGTTGCATTTTCACATGGTTAGATTTAGGGTTTTTTGAATCATTAGTGTTTGGGAAAGCAAAAAAGATTCTTCTAAGCCAAAACTAATTACTCTTTTTTGGATATAAGATTGTTCATGGAATTAATTTTTTTTTGTGAAGAGTTTATATATTACAATGGCTAGAGAAAAAGGAATTATTGAGGAATGGTATGGTATGGATAATCATTCAAACACACTTCTTACACACATACTCTCATGGGGTCAGTTGCACCAAATCCCCATATGATATATCAATTTTTGATGTTTGGGCATTGTAAATGACCTCCATACCCTTTGTTCTATAAGTGGATGTTCATTGGATAAATTTGATGTCTGAGTTTATTTTTGTGCAGTTTAATGTTTGTTTGTGTTCTGTTTGGAGTTGGGACATTGAAAATTTGTAAATAAGGCCCTGTTTGGCATTGAACTGTTAGTGGTTACATGTTTATGTACGTACACTCTTTGGGTAGATGTTTGTGAGTTGCTTGTGTCTGTGATAGTTTAAGAAAAACTGCTGTGTGAAATGAGCTGTTTTGTCAACTACTTGAGCTTTTTTTAAAAGGTAAAAAATTGAACATTTAAAAGAATGTTTTTAAAATGCTTTATTATTAATTTTTTTAATCCAACCTTTTGATCCCTAAAATGCTGTTTTAAAAAGCGGTTTGCCAAATACTTATAATAGTTGATGGACTAATCATTGTACCCTTTGTAAAAAAAAAAGTCTTTGTTTAAAAAAAATCGTTCTATAAGAGTTATTGTTGATCGGTGACTAATTTCTCTTTTATATTGGAGGTATGTAAAAAGAATCTTAGATTATCTTTAATACAAAATTCTTAAGGTCAAAATAGTTGATGTGGAGCTCATGCAGAGCTTATATGGAGCACATGTGAGGTACTAGTTGCTTCATTTATCAAAGTAGTTGCTTAGGGAAGAAATCATACCTTAGCTAAGAATTCTTCCTAAGCAACTCTCACTAAAGATGCTCTTACAAATAAGGGATGACAATACAACTAGGGGTGAGCATTTGGAACTTAATTGAAACTACGGTGTAAACTGATTTGCTTGTTTCGGACCCGTCTAAATTTTCATTTTACTACTCTCCCGTTTTTTAAAACACTTTCGCTTTATTTTTTTGTGCACCCCATAAGATATTTTTACTTTCACCTAAAATATCACAAATACATCTCATTATGTAGTTTTATCGCATGTAGAAGTTGTTTCGGGGGTATTTTAGACATTTTTGGTAGAATAAAAATATTTTATGGGGTATCCAAAAAATTAGGGCAGAAATGTTTTCAAGAACGGAGGGAGTACAAAATAGGGCGGGCTGAGTCAGTTCCTTTACTCAATTCATTTTAATTGATTTGGGTGGAATTGAATTCTTCCATTCTAATTCATTTTTAGCACTACCAGTTCTAAATCCACATTTTTGTGCTACCAAACAGTAGATTTAGAATTGTTGTCCCCAATTCAAATTTCATAGTTTGAATTCCGTGTACCAATCAGAGCCTTATGTATTTGTAGCACCAGAACTTACTCCTTCCGTCTTAATTTGAATTGTCTATTTTAGTTTACATTCAATGTTTGATTGAAATCATTTTCAAAATGACGTGACAATATGGAAAGAGTGACAAACAAAATCGATTATACTCTTTAAGGTTATTGAATATATATTCAATACTTTCAGTCATAATTTAGTTATACAAATTCAACATGCATATATATTCTCTCATTTTAGCTCGACCAAATATAATTATTAAAGCATGGGGAATATTATTTATTTATTAGTAACATATAGTATATGCTACAATAATATAGGTAAATGAGATATTATTACCTAACACTATATATGGAACATGCATTATAAAGTAAACAACAAAAAAAGGGGTAGAAATAAAGAGGTTTTGAGGGGGAGACAAGGGCACATGCATGTGTAGACACACCAACAATGGCCCCATGTCCATGCAGATCAACCATGTGCCATATATATATTATCTCTCACTGATTTGATCTCCATGTTCCTCGTACATACATACATGCATGATGATGATGATGATGGTGATGATGGTTCACATCACTGAACATGCATTTGGGTTGTCGTCACTAAACATCTGTGGTGGAGGATGATGAGCTTCCACTCCATATCCATAGATCTCTTGATGACCATACCTGTTGGTATAGATCATGCATTATATCATTTGGGAATTTTACTCATATTAGTTTTTCCCATTAGATCTTACATTATGTGGTTGGATACTTGGAATTAACTAAAAGTTCAACCAGCCGCTCAAGCTTATGATTTTAGGTCGTTTTAGACTCTAATTAACACGCCTCTCATGATCAACTCAAGCTTATGATTAGTTTTTGCTCGAGTCTTATACATGAACATTATTTTTTTAAAAAAAATAATAGCAGTGAAGTTTGAACAAGGGACTTCTAGATTATAAAAGTTTTGATATCAATTAAAAGCTCAAGGTTGTTGATTGTAGTTGTAGGCCCACGAAAAAGAATCTTAGTCTTGTTGACAATAATTGTGTTAAGTTTAGAGTCATACCAGTGGCACACCACACCACGTATCACATCATTTTTGTCATCAATGTGTCTCACAGAGACACACGGTCTATGTGTGTCAGTGAGACAGAATAGTACCAGATGTAATGGTATATGTAGTGTGCCTCTAGCATTTAATTTTTGTAAGTTTATAGCATACCTCGGGGGAGGTAGAGGAGGAGGCGGGACGTGGAGGTGGTAGTAGTTTGGCGGAGGGTAGTAGTAGTAGAAGAACTCGTTCTTCCTCAGTTCCAGCTTCGGGTCGTCTTGATCTGGAAACCCAACAACTGTCCCTGCCATTTCAGCAGGGACGTCAGCAGGAGGGGCAGCAGCAGCTGCCCCTTCTTTCATTTCTTTGCCAGCGGCGTCTTCCTCGCCACCGGTCTTCTCCTCCTTTTTCTCCCCTCCTTCCGCGGCGGCGGTCTTGTCCTCCTTCGGGCTCTCCTCCGCCGCCTTCTCGGGCTCCACCCTCACAATCTCCACCCTTTTGCCGGTCCTCTTGGCTATGTAGTCCACTAGGGTTGGGGGCTCAAAGATGCCCTTAACCGTCACCAACGAGCCCTTAAAGTCAGGTTCAACATTTTCCACACCTAAACAAAAAAAAAGATCCCAAAGAATAATTTTTCATGTGATGAATGTGAATCACAACGGTTCACTATCAAATGTCAATGCATTTTAGAGTATCCGATGATTTGACACTGAATATGCAGAAACAGAATCTAAAGAGCCTAATATTTTATTCTAATTAAAGATTATATTGACATGATAGGGAATAAAATCCAAAAAAAAAAAGAGAAAAGAATGAACCCATACTCCCAAAGGTATAAAGCTGAGTACTTTACTAGTACAGAATTATTTACTCCCTTTATTTGCATTGCTACTTTTTGCTTTAAAAAAAATTCTTATTAAAAAAATAAAAACAAATAAATTAAAATTTGTTATATATAGTTAATCTTTGGAACTTCAAAAAAACAAATTAAACATGTTAAATTTAATTCCGGAAAAAATGAGGAGAACTAAAAAAATATGAAGTATATATTTCTATTTTTGAGAGAAATGTGAAGAGTATGGAATTTGGTACGTCCATGAAAATTAAAAATGGAAAGATAATTTAGAGAGAGAGAGAGCAGAAAACAACAGAGAATGACCAAAATATGATAAAAACATAGAGAAAAAATTAAAATAGGATCTTCATGTTTTTATTTACAAAACATGAGTTACAATGTCAGAAATGTCAATATGTAATATAAAAAAATACTATAGAATGTCAATATACAGTGACAAATTGTCCTTGTATAAAATTCTATTTTGACGATAAAAATGTCATTCTTATTTTGGGAATAATGACTATTTTATTCCGATTTTAGGTAATTCCTAGAGAGAAAGACAAAAATAGGGACGAAACATAGAGGAAAAAAGAATAAGACTTTAATTAGAACACCAAGTACCGGGTTTACTTTAAATATAGAAACAAATACTCTCTTCAACAACTTGCATATAAATTTATTTTTGCTCGAATCTTAATTAAATTTGAAAATACAATTTTTGAAATTGAGTGGTGGTGAGATTCAAACTCGTGATTTATTAATCAACAAAGCTAAGATATTACGTAGTATATGTAGATCTAAGAAAGATTTTTTATAGGAAGAAAGACCCAAGTAGGACTAAAACATTGAAGATATACCAAAATAGGACTTCCATGTTTTTATTCTCGAAATAGGACTTACATTACCAAACATGGTCATATACATTACCAAAAACGTATAGTAATGTGCACATGTACACTGTCACATTACCACAATGCAAAGTCACATTACCACAGTGCAAAGTCCTATTTCGAGAAAAAAAACATGAAATACTATTTTGGTATTTTTCTTTATGTTTTAGTCCTATTTAGGGTGATTTCTATTTTATATATACTCTAAGACAAGAATATACATATTTTTATACGAACCAAAAGGGAAAGAGTACAAAAATGATTTTTACCATTCACGCAACTCTTTATTTAAAAGCAACCAAGGAAAAAACATTCAAAAACCCATCTAAAAAAAGAAAATGAATAAAATTTGGTTAGAAAGTAGAGTAATAATGTATAGGTCTCAATCTAATGTATCATGTTTGACTGAACATAAAAGTAAATAAAATAGTTAAAAAAAATTCCCCAAAAAAAGTTAAAAAATTACTCACAATATAATGCTTTTGGTAAATAAAAACAAAGGTACAATAAATTAGGATGAATGAAAAAAATAAAGACAAAAGAAATTGGGTGGATGGAGTGTTTGTTATCCGTCAATTTAGGCATTAATAAAAAGGTAAATTTTCATAGGGTGGGCACAAACCATGTGGAAACCTGCACATTTAATTTTTTGCAATTAATTATAATATAATAATATTTTTAATAATAAAAATATAATACGAGTAATATTTTTTTTAAAAAAAATAGTTTTGGGATTCCCTATGTAATTATTAATTGCAAAAAAACAAAAAGAAATGGGACACACAACCTTTCATCCTCTGGATCCTCCTCTTGATTTCTTGTGCACATGCCTCACAGTGCATGTGAACTTTCAGAATGGCACTCACCACCTGGGGCTGGACGGCAATTATTTCAAACTGTGAGGGGCTCATTGCAAATATAATTGCCAAATAAAGAGAATATTTGCCAATAAATGCAGTGTACCATATGCATGATGACTCTACCAAATTCAAGGAATCCCACATGAAAAAGAAAACGCTTTAAAATGAAAAAGACGTGAGAAGAGAAAATAATAATGATTGTGACCGGAAAATATTCATTTAATGCCATTTTATTTATATTTAATTTATATACTAAATCAACTCCACAAAATAGAATCTAAAAAAATGTTTTTTTAATACCAAATATATGAAACATGTTTTAGTTTTAATTACATATTTATCCTGAAAATGGGAGAAATCCCAAAAAGAAAGTTACGTTTCTTTTTTTGCGCATCCCATAAAATATTTCTATATCGTCTCAAATATCAAAAAACTTTCAAAACGACTGCTACCCACAATAATGGGTAAAAATGATAAATTTTAGACATTTTAGATATGGATAGGAGTGTTTTTTGGGATGCACAATGAATGAAACGTAACATTCTTTTTGGGACAGAGGAAGTATTATACTCCCTCCGTTTGGAAAAACACTTCCCATTTGGATTTGAGGCAAAAATAAGGAAGTGTTAAATTATAGTTGATTTCCAATTTTGCCCCTGATGTGATGGGTAAAAGTAAGATGTGATGGATAGATTATTAGAGAAAAAGTATGATGTGATAGGTAGGGTATGAAAAAGTAAGGGTAAAAGTGGTTTTTTAATAGAAAAGGGAAGTGTTTTGTTGGAAGTGAAAAAAATGAAAGAGGAAGTGTTTTTGAGAACGGAGGGAGTATTATTTGAGATGTTCATGTAAAATATCCCTTTTGGGGGTTTGGTTAATTGGCCAAACTCCACATTTTATGATTTGGAATGCTCATGTAAAACATCCCCTTTTGACAACCACCTACCTACCTGTTTTTTCTCCTCCGCCTGAGGGGGTTCCTCCGGCGGCTTTTTGGGTTCCTCCGCCGGTGGAGGCGGCGGCGGAATGGGGGAGAGTAGCTCAACCTGGCGGTGGCTCTTCTTCTGAACCCTCTCCAACACTTTTATTGGATCTGCCTTTTCACCTTTCACCACCACCGTATGGGTCTTGCAATCAGTCATCACTTCCTCTACCCCTGCACAAAAAAAAAGAAAATGAGAACTCGTTCATATAATAATCTAATAATATAACAAAAGTATTTGATGGAGATTTGATGTGCTTTGCTTTAGTAGGCTTTATTAATTTATGTTTCCTTTTACTTTAAAAACTAAAAAATGGTTTATATTATCTTCTTATTTTTCTTTTTAGATCAGCATCCCAAAAAATGTCTTACTTCCTTTTTACATTCTAAAACATTGAGCCTTTACGAAAATTTTTAAATTTTGACTTCAAATTAAATAAAAATATTATTAGATATTGATACAAAAATATTTTTATTAGATTTATTATATAGATTAATTTTAAAATATTATTTTATCTAATTAATATACAATATATATTTTATTTAATTACAGATCAAAGGTTGAAAACCATTGAATGAAAAAAAACTAAAAATTATATAATACATGTATATAATTATGGAACTATTTCTCATGATAAATTAAAAAAATTATGTAATTCTTGGCTTTGTGCATAAACGAGAAAAACAACACTTAAAGTTGAGCACAAACTCTCAAATTAATCTTTATTTTGAATTTTTGGGGCCAAATCAAAGAGACTATGACCCAGTTCTCAAAAGAGTATTAACGATTTAGATAAAATTTTGATTTAATGATATAAATTAATTCAAAAAAACGTTAACACTAAAAATTATGGTCTAATATATTTTTCAAAACATGCCAACAACAAATATATGATGTAAGTGGCTACGTACCGTCAAAGCCTTTGAGGCAGCGGCGGACTTTGCGAGCACATCCCTCGCAATGCATGAACACTCTAAGAACAATTTCCGGCGGCGGCGGCGGAGACTCGTCCTTCTTATCCTCCTCCGCCGCTTTATTGGCGGCGGCCTCCCCGTCTGCTTTCTCACCGCCGCCGCCCGCTGCAGCAGGACTACCCTCATCTACTTTCTTCTCCACCTCCTCCGGCTTCTTCACTTCATCCCCCTTTTTCTCTTCCTACACAACAAGATTATTATTGAAAGGAGTAGGAAATGACCAATTAATTAAAGTACTAATAATAAAAGAAAAAAGGGAAAGGGGGAGAAAAAAAAGATCTAAATCAAGAAACTGCTGCTACCTCCCCCATTTGGACAGATTGAAGAAATGATGAAATGAAAGGCTAGGTGATAAGCTTAGATAATAATAATAATAATAATAATATTATTATTATTATTATTATTATTGGTTTTGAGAATAAAATGGGGTTGGATGAGTAGTGGAGTCTCTCTAGGCTTATTTTGTCTGGCTCCCGGCTTATTTTGTCTGGCTCCCTCTCTATCTCTAAAAGTTTGTGATAAAGAAGAAAGAAAAAAAAAAGTGAATGAAGGGGCGGGCAAGGGATTGGATATAAGGGGTGGCCTAATATACAGATGGCATGACATGTCACACGTACGATATTTGCCTTGCAACGACTAGGCTAGGTGCCACTTGTGTGATTTACTTCTTCATCAAATGAATTGAAATGATGATATCTTGAAGAAAAAGAACATTTTCCACCTCAAATTACTTCTTTGTTTGTTCAAATGTTGTCTCCATTGTCAAAAAAAAATTGAGTATTGCATACTATTTAAACTACTAGGGCATCATATAAATTTAATATAGAATCATTTTGAGACACACTTTTAAAATATTGCTCCCTCCATCCCATAAAGATTGGGACGGTTTGACTAAAGTGGTAAAATAAGGATGGATAATTTTGTGTTGACTTTCCAAAAATACCCTTGATGTGATGAGAAGATTATTAGGAAAAATGTACAATGTGATAGGTAGAGTATGAAAAAGTAAGGGGTAAAAGTGTTTTCTCAATAGAAATGGGACATGCCTTTAAGGGAAGCAAATTTTTCGAAACGGGACTGACTTTATGGGACGGAGGGAGTATAATTTTTATAATTGGTGGAGTTCTTTTGACAAAAAAATGTTAAAATATGACAACAAAGGCTACGATGCTTTGATTAAAAAATTGAAGGTTCCTACCTCTTAACCCACTGGCCCAACCCCAGCACTTAAAGTGAATTTGAGAGAAGGGGCAGACGGGGCTGGGATGGGGACATGGAGGTTTATGGGAAATTAGAAGGTATAAACCATCACTTTTTCAATTGGAACACCGTAGTCCTTGTTTTCAAAAGAACTTGCCGCCTTTTTATAATATATATCTATATATAGAGAGAGATGTTATTGGTCAAAGTGTTGTATTGAAGACCATGGGAAGTCAAATGGAAAGAAAATTTATAGACGTAAGGAGTATTACTCACCAGATCAAATATGATAAAATTCGGTTTTAATCAAAAGTTTTAGGACTTAAATTACTAAATTGCAAAGGACCTTTGGAAATGATTTGGCGGTCCTGGACTCAGAGAGAGCTTAACTGATGTTAGAGGTTATGACTCAAGCTAATTAAAGATTATGGTTATGCTATTGCCTATGATCAAGGAAAAGAGAATGTTATAGCTGATGCTCTCAGTAAGAAGGAGATGGCATCAGAGCAGCACACTTAGTCAAACCTGGAGACTGAGGTCATTTTAAACAAAGTGACCATAAGTTCTATAGAAGATTTTCTAACAAGTTCTATAATGGATAGAGGTCCAACTTTGTCATAAAAGAGCACAATGCTCTATTCTTCTAAGGTCATCTTGTTATCCCGACTTGTGAGCAAAGGGAACACATCGTGGATCACTATACATCGTGGAAGCTCGTAGATCACTATACATCGTGGAAGCCAAAAGATGTTCTTGTAACACCCTAATTCGTCTAGGTCTGCAGCCCCTTTCGGACTAAAGTATTTAACTTGGTAATCGTAAAAATTTAAAACTTTTCAAACGCACTTTATTTATCACAATAATATTTTTCATAACATATACAGTACGGAGTATTCAACAATATTGCGGAAGCGAATTTAATATTAACATATTAACATATACAGTACGGAGTATTCAACAATATTGCGACAATCTCGCCCCATCTGACACCAGGATCACATTGTTCTTTCTATTTACCTGCGTGTAGCAAATAAAACACACTACACGCTCAGCGGTAAAGCTGAGTAAGCATATCTAATGCGTCGAACATCCATATAAACTGAATCTAAATTCATAATCAAATCAATTGATATCATGCACACAATGTTCATTTCAGACATTCACAGTTTTGATATTAATCAATTCATACCAACACAATTTATTTAATTCAGATATTATTTCGACGGTGCTCTTAAATTATTCTTAATATGAGGCCAAATAATAATAATGCTCTTAGCTATTCTTAGTCTAAGGCCAGATAATAACAATGCTCTTAGCTATTCTTAGTCTAAGGCCAGATCATAATTTTCATAACCAGACTCTCAAACTATGGCTAGTTTTAGGCCATTAACCAGACTCTTAAAAGGCAATTAATAATCAGAAACTTAAACTATCATTAGTTTAAGGCAATCGATTTCGGACTCTTAACTCTAGTTAGTTAAGGCAACAACAATATAGTGATTGATCAACGTCGGATCGGGGCATTCCCAAACGAGTGATCCTCTAGTTTAGTCTACGAATCCCGTTATATGCGTTTTTATCTAATTTATCAAATATTCATGTTTTCATGAGTCCATACTAATACGAGATCTATTCTAGAGGTCTTCTAGATAGCCTTAATAATACACATTATTTTCCTTGTTTATCTACTTATTCATTTTGAAACATAACTCATTTAATTCATAATAATCATTTAATTCAAGATAGTTAAACAAACATATCTATCCATGATTCCATCATTACGGTTCATTAGTTCATTTCCATACTTTATTATTTTATGAAAATAAAATCATTATCGTTATGTAGTCATAAACGATCTTCACCATGATACGGACTCCAAGTTCTCATGGCAGAGCACGAGGAGATTGATCATCAATGGAATTGAAACCAGAAGCACGACTGGTCCAAAATAATAAAACCATCAATAACAGAAACGTAAGCATGAGACTTTTTGGTAGTACCGGTGAACCAGATGGCCGCGGCGATGGAATCTAGGACGGAGGACTTGTAGTATCTCTCTAGATCGAAACAAAATTCGAATGGAGGCTGACCGCTGAGCCCACTCTGGCCTTGCAGGGCGGGCCCCTGTGGTTGCGAGCAGCTGCCATAGCTTATGAATGGGAGGAAAGGATAACGAGCGCGGAGCTCGCCAAGCGGGCAAGTCGTCCATTTGATCGTCATAATCAATATTTATTATCAATGATGTTCCATTATGTTTTATCCATTGTAATAATCATTTATTCAGAATACTAACAAGGTTTGATCATAATAGTCATCGTAACATTTATTAACAAATAGCGGTCTAGCGTTGAGTGCTAACACCCTAGCTTATCGTCATCCATCAACAAAGCTTTTAAATCTGTCAAAACATCATTTTTATTTCCAAAAATCATATTGTTCATAATTGATTGGTGTCAAAAATAAGATTTCATAGTTCAAAAATTGGGTTTTCAGGACGTTTTCTGGTTCAGGACAGTACTCGGTACGGTACCTCGGTAGCGTGTCACGATACCTTGGTACCGACCGCCACCAATCAGCCACCATAAGGATGGCAGTCAACGGTAGGTAGCTACCGTGGTTACTGTAGCTGGCTACCGTGCCGGCGATAGCATGGTCCCGTTCTGTGCATTAACTTTAAACATTGTCATCTTCAACCTCGGGCCAAGTTTCAGAAATTCCATTTTTAGTCACCAAACTTCAATTAAACTATATAGAAATATTCTCCAATGTTCATAGATCATTTTGGTAACATTAATTCGTAATTTTAACAACAATTTCAAGGTTTATGATTCTTGGTTCTTCAAATATTCCAAACACAAAACTCAACCAAACGACCGTTTATGAACGTAAAAATGATCTATATGAACATTCTAGTCACTAGATATATCTACGGGCTTACCTCGAAGCTAAACGATGATTCTGGAGATTGAACGACAAAACTTCCGACGACAATAACTCCTTGCTCCGGCGACTTCGACGATAACCAACAACAGCAGTCTATTCTCCTCACTCTCAAGATTCTAATGAACTAATTTGCAAAAGGAATGGTGTAGTAATTGGGAAATGAGTTCTCCCTTATACAGGGAAGATGAAGAAGAAGGAAACAAACTGCTGTGTAGGATTTGATTTTCAATCGGCTGAGTGGAGGATGAGACGTTGTTCCCTGATTGGGACCATTTTTTGTTCTAGTTAGGGTACACTTTTTTATCCAACTTTCTCTGAATTGAAATGTGTTTACACCGTTGTGATCAAACAGTCGAATTCTATTCAACGATATATTTTTCATAATTATTCGTAATACTTTTTCCGACATCATATTTTTGGGTGCTTGACTTTGACAGAGTCAAAATCGATTCAGTTTGGCTTTTATTCAAAAATGTTCTCATATTAAATTCTTATTAATTATTCTCATGACCTATTTCAATAAATCATTTTTAAAGTTCACTTCATTAATGATTTATTCATTTATTCTTGATTTGGGTCTGTACTCAGGTTCCCAATCAAGACCACACAAATAGTCAACATATTCGATTTATCTCTATGAGATTTATCCAGATTGTGATATTGAATATCAAAACACATTTATTATCGGCCCAAAGCCCAACAATAATTTATTTTAATCAAAACAAATTTGATTAATCGAATATTTATTCATTAAAATTTCTAGGGTATGTTTTGGGGCGTTATAGTTCTAGATGTTAGAATATAATCGGAAATAGGATCATAATGATGTTTAGTTTCTTTATTCTTGGGTTATTACATTTATATTCCTATCTTATTTAGGAACAGATTCTACATCATGTAATCCCCCCCCCCTCTCTCTCTCTCTCTGTGTCTATATATATATATATATATATATATATATATATATTTATATACTTTTTGAGAGTTTATTATTCAATAAGGCCAATCCAAAAACTTAGCCACCCTTCTTGTATGACCATGTGCCACCGCTGGTCTTAATCATCGGTGGTCGACCACCATAGATCATGGCCTAACTGTATCTTATCCCTCTTCTTCTCTCTAAAAAGTTATGAGCATGCCTAACAGCCGCCGTCTTTTTATCCCTCTCTTTCTCTCCATAAATTATGAGCGTGCTCAACAGCTTTCATCATTTTGATTGTCTTGTGTATCCATGGCTTCAGCCTCAGCTCACAATTAACTAGCATAAACTTAGGCCTCAAACCACTCTTCGTGTCTTTATAGGTTATCATCACACCATGAAAGGTTACAAATGTTATGACCTTCTTTCCTAGAAAACATAAGCCTCCTGTCTTTTTTTTCCCATCGAAGATTAATTCCCTTACTCCAAACTTGTGTGTAACCCAATCTTTTCCAATTCTCTAGGCATCATTCTCATCTTCCCTCATCGTCCAAGCTCATCAGCTCAGGTACCGCCCCCTCAACGCGTTGTCTCCACTAAACTTGCCTCCAATACGGTCAAGCAAATCGCTAGTCATCTTGTCCAAGATCAACTGCTCATGAACACTCCCTCTAATTCCCTACAGGCAGTCGACCCTCCTTGACCATTCAGTCATCGACAGTCGACCGTTATCCTAAAAGTCCTCTGAACTCTTCAAGGTGGTCAAACTCATAGACTATCCCTCTCACACAGTCGCTGTCCTAACACAAGAAGTCTCGAACAATCCACAAACAGTCATCTTATACAAATTCGAGCCAAATCTGACATCTTCGAACCCAACACTTACATCACCACCACCCATGATACTAACCTCCTACCATTAAACATAGCACTTATAATCAAGCCTCTGGTAATAAATTTTTGTGGCAAGTAATGAATGACGAGTTAATTTCTTTGATTGAGAAGCATACTTTGGATTTGGTTCCTCCTCCCAAAGACTAAATACCAATTAGCTGTAACTGGATGGTTCATATAAAATGGAACACTGATGGATTTGTTTCGAAGTATAAGACTTGTCTTGTGGCCAAGGGATACAATTAAGAGTATGACATTGAATACAAAGAAACATTTAGCGGTATTGTGAAACATGAAACCATGCATCTTTTTCTCTCTCTAGCTCTTTATCATGATTGGTCTCTTCATTAGCTGAATGGTAGCAATGCTTTTCTTCATGGTATCATAGAGGAAGATATCTATATGCAGCAAGGTTAAATGTACTTTCAATTTGTTAAATGTACTCTTCATTGGTTATATTGTTAAATGTACTCTTCATTGGTTAAATGTACTTTAAATTTTTCAAAAACAAAAGGTTTTGTTAGATTTTATGATGTAAACTAGGTACGTATATATTCATCCCGATTTGTACCGAAACTGATACCGAACCATCTCGAAACATACCGAACCGATGCTTCGGGATCGGGATCGGTACAACGTAAAATCCCATACCCAACCGAAATATTTGGTGCGGTATCGATACAAGCTAAATACCGTACCATACCGTACCACGCTCACCCCTAGCGTCGTTCGTTTTTGCAACACAAAATAATGACATATAATCACAATTAATCTGCTCGACATCAACCCGTGCAATCTATTTTCTTCATTCTCTAGTTTTAACTTTATGTTTCGCATGAGCTCGCATACATTATAAATATATAATATTTCAGTTTAATTGTATTTTGAGTAAAAGATAATTTTATTTATTTTAATTTAGCAATAATGATATAGTGTGTGTGATATGAATATTATTAAACTATGGACATGATGTTGTTTTAAAAATAAAACTTGTAATTGTAATAATGATGTATATGTATTTAATTTATTATATCTTTTTATTTTTCAAATAGTAAAGAGAAAAAAGAATAATTTTTTAAAAATACAAAAATAACTATACTTAAAAATAAAAATATTTAAATTGAAAAATGAATAGTGTATATATATATATATATATATATATATATATATATATATATATATATATATATATATACTAGCATTTGCACGCGCATTGCGCGAGATTTAGTGCCCGATCATTATTTTTCCGAAGAATGGTTATGTTATTTTTGAGTAATTGATTGAATATTTTGTAATAATATTGTTGTTGTGGTTGTAATAATATTGTGTACGTAGCGTTCTAGGGTGTAATGTAATTTATTAACTAATGTTTTAATACAAAGGAGACATGCATAATATACATACAATGGAGTGCCGGAGTGGGGCATACCCTTTTAACACAAAGTTCAATGACGGTGAACAAAACAAACAATGAAAGGGATAAGTGGCAAGGAAGAATCCAAGTCGTATCCTGTTTCCGCACAGAAGTACACTCAAAGATTGTAATTGATTTTCAAATATATGAACTTTGCATTAAGCGAAAAGCATGATTTACAAAAGTGAGCCTTAAAGGAAGATTCATAAGTGCCTTTGAAAGACTGTTTATGGCTATGGAGCCTCAAGCATGACATTCGAGTGATGGTTGGAGTGAGATGCAGCCTAGGTTTCAATTCCCGAGCCTCTGTATTTGTGTAGGTCTCAAGTACTTAAAGTTAAGTCTCTGTTGTGAATGTTCGGGTGCCATCTTGTGTACCTTCATTAATCCACTTTATATTTTAAGGAGATAAACATTAAATAAGTTATTGATCAAAACTTTTAATACGGTACAAAATTAGGTTAGTAAGGAAACACCACATGTACACATCATTAAATTGTAAAGAGTGAAAAGCATAGAGTTAAAACCACATGAAAAATATGGCAAAAAAAGACCATGAAAAGTGTTAAATTTGAAAAGTGTTTCTTAGATGACATAATAACCACATGAAAAATATGGCAAGTACTCAAAGACAATGTCATAACACAATATGTTGGGTCAGAACTAAGGGCCTGTTCTTTTGGACTTGAACTCTTAACTTCCAGTTTTTTCCAGTTCCTGCCAGTTCTTTCCAGTTTCTTCCAGTTTCTTCCAGTTTTTTCCAGTTTCTTCCAGTTTCTTCCAGTTTTTTCTAGTTCCTTCCCGTTTCCAGTTTCTACTTTCTGACAAATCACTCTAAAAAATATATTATTATTATTATTATAGTTTTTTTAATTACTACTTTTATGTTCATAAATATAGTTTATAAACTTTTTCATTTTGTCATCTCACTATTTTTATGATTCATATTCATTATTTTTTTCTTCAACTTTTTAATATGAATAATACCATTTTTTGTATATTAATCTACAAGAAAAAATAGGAAACTATTTAAAAAATTATGGTTAAATAGCCGCGGGAACTTTTATTTATTTCGATGTTTTCATTGATTATTTGATAAAATAAAATATTTTTGACACCTCTTATTTCGAAGAACTTTTCATGTAGTAAGAGTATAACATAAAAAATGTAAAAAAACAGTTCTATGTTTTTATTCAAAAAGTATGGTTACAATGGAAATAAATTGTCAATCCTTAAAGAAAGAATAAGTTTGATTACATTATGTGACATGTCAGATATTTTAAACAAAATCTTGTAATATATAAAATATAATTACAAATATATTATTTTATAATAAATACATATAGCCATAATAACTCTTAACTATTTAACATTTTGATATTTATGCTAATTTTATATTCTAATTATTTTTTTAAACTATCTTTTTATGTATGAAAATAATATTCGTAATTTTTTTATATATTCTAAAGACAATCATTTAGATAACGTAATAACACCACCACTACCACCACCACCACCAACAACAACAACAACAACAACAACAATAATAATAATAATAATAATTATTATTATTATTATTATTATTATTATTATTATTATTATAGCAATAATAATAATTTATATCAACAAGAATCAGAATGAGAATAATTTAAAACCACACATAAAAAATTTTTAATAACTTTTTTTAGATTTTACAATTTATTCTAGTTTTTTCAATTTCTTTTAATTTTTTCCAGTTTTTCCAGTTTCTTCTAGTTTCTTCCAGTTTCTTCCAGTTTTTTCCAGTTTCTTCCAGTTTCTTCAAGTTTCTTCCAGTTCTTCCAGTTCCTTGCAGTTTCTTCCAGTTTCTTCCAGTTCCTTCCAGCTTCTTCACGTTTCTTCCAGTTTCCAGCTCTTTTTTTCCAGTCCTAAAGAACAGGCCCTAAATAAATTTATATTCTGTTAAGGATATTTGGTAATGTAATTATTCCAATTGTTATGCAATTATTTGTCGACGCATTGGGGTCAAACTGGAATACTGACCCATGGTTAGATTCACGTGTTAAACTCGGCCATTTCGTACTGGATGTGTGATGACTGGGTTGGACCTATGATCTTAGCTTTAGTTTAATGGGTGACGTTTTGCCTATGTTTCCTAAGAGAAGTGTTATAGTATTACGAAACCAAACCGCATAAGCAAAAGTGATAACGAATTTCCAATCGTAACAGTAAAAAAAATTTTCTTTGGTATTTAAAGAAAATTCGTATGCAATGTGAGTTTTTTTAAGACCCTTGATTTCACTTGTGAAGGAAGTATTGCTTCGGTACACGAATATTGGAGTTGTCTAAATAACACAAGGTAACCGCAAATAAGAAGACCTTGACTCAAGCACAAGACCTAAAACCCCTAAATCAGTATTAAAAGCATACCCATGATCTGCCAATTGCCAAAAACCAGATCCTAACCCCAAATCCAGCATAACAAACAAGAGTGAAACACCACTTCCAGAACACAGACACAAAACTTTAAGACATTCTACGTTTGAGAGAGTACCTTGGCTTTTAAAACGATAATGTCAGGAAAATGGCGGTCTGTAAGTTCTGATTAATTTCCCCTGCCGCAGGAACTATAAAGAATTTGGCGTTAGGCAAGCTGCTTTCCACCTGATGTAGGGAGCGATAAATTTGTTATGACCCTTAGTGTCCGTCATCAACGATGACTTTCGTTGCTTAATACAAGGCGTTTTTAAAAAAGAGAAATGCAAACAAAATGAGACATGAACTTTAAGGCAAACGTGTTCATGATTATTATTATTATTGTATGAAGGTTTAGTCGTATGTATGCAAGTAAAAAGTAACTTTAGATGTATGATTTTATAGGGGTGTGATAGCTGTTTGAAAAGGAATAAAGAGTATCATAATTTTGGAAATTCAAATTTGAAATGAAAATAAACTGATATTTCACTTAATTGCAGATACTGATGATTTTGGTGTAAATAAGGAATTATTGCCAGCCATTAATTCTGTTGAATGATTCTTTTTATTTCGAATTAATTTGAATATCACATTTTCCATTTCAAAATAAATGATGCAATACCTGGTTTATCCACTTTGACTTGAACTTGGTGTTTACCCTGTAGTTCAATAAGACTCTGGGCAGTTACTATATTCAGACCCGATGGATATATTGGCGTGGATGACCAGGAAGTTGCACATAGAACTCATATTCTTCTCACACTTTTACTACTAACTTTGAGTGAACACTCAATACTCACATCCAATTTCCCTCAAGCATGTAGTAAAAGGGGCAGGGGCAGGCATGATTCCATTCAGTTAACAAGAGCTAACACTTTCTGAGTACACTTGAGTACCTGTTTATTTGAGTTCTGGGGTTGTTATACGATTCTAGAATCTTATTGTTTCATCACCTGCAGCAGATGCTCCAACGCAAACATCTGGCCTCTGCACAAGAAATATGAGTGTGAGTATACTTATCAGTGTGACAAAATTTTGAGAATAGCACGATGTGATAAGCACAGCCTGAGAAATGTTATGATATTAATTTCGTGAGTAAAAGAAGAAATGTTATGCCAATTCCAAGTCTTAGCTCAATATCTACCCCCAAAAACCAGTCCCAACACAAAATCCAAAACCAACCCCATAAGCAGAAACATAAACCTAGTCCATTGCTGATCAGTAAACCTTATTCGGCAGCTTCATTCCTGATTTTTAGAGTTGTCACATGAAAATTATTTATAGAGTTAAACTCACTGCTCCATTTCTCATCTAAAAAAGGCTTTTGAGGCTGTAGAGTAGTTGATCCCAAAACATAATCCTCTAAAGTACTCTAGAATAGGCATCAAATCGCTAAATTATGCGTGTTCTTATAGAACCTATTTAATAGAACCCAATTCCAAGTCTTACCTCAACACCTACCTCAAAAACCAGTCCCAAACACAAAAACCAAAACAAACCCCAAAAGCAGAAACATAAACCTAGACACTAACCTCAAATAACCAGACTCTGCGCAAGACACAAGACCTAAAACCTCTAAAACTAAAGTGCAGGTCTAGAACAAAATTCCTGCCTCTACAACCATAGTTAAACGGCATATCCTCAACGGACAAAAAACTCTAAATTCTCGACCCAAAAACGAACATAAAGACTAAAACCAAAAGTAAAAACCCAGCCCAAAACCTACCGAAAAAACTGCCTAAAAAACCAGTCCCAAATACAAAACGCCAAACCTAACCTAGAACCTATTTAAAAGAATCGAATTCCAAGTCTTACATCAAAACCTACCCCAAAAACCAGTCCCAACACAAAAACCAAAACCAACCGCAAAAGCAGAAACATAAACCTAGTCCATTGCTGATCAGTAAACCTCATTGGGAAGCTCCATTCCTAATTTTTAGAGTTGACACATGAAAAAAACTTATAGACTTAAACTCACTGGGCAGCTCCATTTCTCATTTGGAAAAGCCTTTAGCGGCTGTAGAGTAGTTGATCCCAAAACATAGTCCTCTAAAGTACTCTAATATAGGCATCAAATCCCTAAACTACACGTGTTCGTATACAACCTATTTAATAGAACCCAATTCCAAGGCTTACCTCAAAACCTACCCCAAAAACCGGTCCCAAACACAATAACCAAAACCAACCCCAAAAGCAGAAACATAAACCTAGACCGCTAACTTCAAATAACCATAATTAAAAGCAAACCCATGATCTGCCAAACGCTAAAGTGCAGGTCTAGAACAAAAATCCTGTCTCGACAACCATAGTTAAACAGCATCCTCAACGACACAAAACCCGAAAATCTCGACCCAAAAAACACACATAAAGACAGGTCAATATTTGAACTGTTTGGGGGGCTAATGCTGATTTGTTCATCAGTGAGGTCTTCAAACTTATTCAAAGTTGCTTTATCATACAAGGGAACAAAAAAGGATGATCCAAGAAGCTCATTTGCGAAAAATGCATTTCTCATTAATCAAATATCCAACAAATCAAACAAAACAATCCAAGTAATCCAAATACACACAATACTAAAAATTCAGAAAAAAACTTTAGTATTGGAATTCAATAAATTAAATAAAGAGAATGAAATAGAAATTTTGACATACCTCAAGAAATAATACTTCCCTTAATAATGATGTAGGGAATTAGAACAACTGAAATTGAACCTGGAAATTTAAACATGGAGATTATTCACTTTTGAATTCAAAACAATCTGGGTAATTGCAAATAAGCATCACAATTGAACGAAAAAAATCATTCAAAAACAAAGTGTAAATTCGAAAAATCCTGAAAGACTTCTCTAACCTGGAACCAAAGCACAAGACTGTGAAGCCGGTGAAACCGTGGATTTCGCAAATCAATTACCTTATTAAAGTAATGCAAATCAATTACCTGATTTTTAATCCAGCGGGTGAAGCCATGGATTTCACAACTCAATTCCATCGCCACGCCAATTCAAGCATTTGCATTTAATCCAGCCGGTGAAGCCGTGGATTTCGCAATTCAATTGCATCGCCTTTACGTTTACCCGGGTTGGGTTTGGAGGCTTCCGCATAAGCACAAGAAAATTGGAGTGTACTGTGGGCGTAGACTGAGTTTCTAACGGCTGGGGCATATTGGGGAGTATAATGATATGGTACAACACTAAAGCCCTAGAGTTCAACTTTTTTGGATGGAAAAAAGCCATTAAATTAAAGGATACCTAACTGGAATCTAGATTTATATAATAAGAGGGATATATATATATATATATATATATATATATATATATATATATATATATATATTATCTATGTATAAATAGAGACTTTAATGAGCAAAGTGTTGCATTGAAAATTGGAAAAATTTAAATTGAAAAAAAATTTATGGACAAAGGGAGTATTATTCAGCAGACTCAGTTTGATAAAATTCGATTTTAATCCAAAAATTTTAGAGCCTAAATTACTAATTTGCAAAGGGCCTTTTGAAATGGTTGGATGGCCTTGGACTTAGAGAGAGCTTAACTACTGAGGGCTATATCTCGAGCTAGTTAAGGATTATGGTTATTGTATTGACTATGATCAAACAAAAGTGAATGTCTTAGCAAGTGCTTTGAGTAAGAGTGGGATGGTATCCCCATATTCAGCTAAACCTGGATGCTGAGGTCGTTTATACACAAATGGATTGTAACACCCTAATCCGTCCAGGTCTGCAGCTCCTTTCGGACTAAAGTATTTAACTTGGTAATCGTAAAAATTTAAAACTTTTCAAACACACTTTATTAATCCCAATAATATTTTTCATAGCATATACAGTATGGAGTATTCAACAATATTGCGGAAGCGAATTTAATATTGACATATCATAAATTATTTCAAACTTGTCACATCCATCCCGACAATCTCGCCCCATTTGCTGCCAGATTCACAGTGTTCTTTCTGTTTTACCTGCGTGTAGCAAATAAAACACACTACACGCTCAGCGGTAAAGCTGAGTAAGCATAGCTAATGTGTCGAACATCCATATAAACTGAATCTAAATTCATAATCAAATCATTTGATATCATGCACACAATGTTCATTTGAGACATTCACAGTTTTGGTATTGTTCAGTTCATATCAACACATTTTATTCAATTCAGATACTATTTCAGTAGTGTTCTTAAATTATTCTTAATCTAAGACCAGATCATAACAATGCTCTTAGCTATTCTTAGTCTAAGGCCAGATCATAATAATGCTCTTAGCTATTCTTAGTCTAAGGCCAAATCATAATTTCTATAACCACATTCTTAAAAGGGAAATTATTAATCAGACACTTAAACTATCATTAGTTTAAGACAATTGATTTCAGACACTTAACTATAGTCAGTTAAGACAATCAGACACTTAAACTATCATTAGTTTAAGGCAAATGATTTCGGACACTTAACTGTAGTCAGTTAAGGCAACAACAATATAGTGATTGATCAACATTGGATCGGGCATTCCCAGACGAGTAATCCTCTAGTTTGGTCTACTAATCCCATTTATGTATTTTTATCTAATTCATCAATTATTCATGTTTTCATAAGTTCATCCTAAGATCTATTCTAGAGGTCTTCTAGATAGTCTTAACATCAATTAGGTAATAGGTATATCTTAAAGTCTTTTAGATATCCTTAACAATACACATCATTTTCTTGTTGATCAATTTATTCATTTTGAATTATGGTTCAATCATTCATAATCATAATTTAGTTTAAGATAGTCAAACAAACATATCTATTCATTATTTCATCTTTACGGTTCTTTCATTCAATTCCATACATTTTTATTTGTCATAATAAAATCATGATCGTTATGTAGTCATAATTACTCGGGTCGTCCATTTGATCATCATAATCAATATTTATTATCAATGATATTCCATTATTCATTATAATAACCATTTATTCAGGATGTTATCAAGGTTTGATTATAATAGTCATAATAACATTTATTAACAAATAGCGGCCTAGTTTCGAGTGTTAACACTCTAGCTTACCGTCATGCATCAAACAGAGCTTTCGAATTTGTCAAAACATCATTTTTATTTACAAAAATCATATTCATATTGATCATAATTGATTGGTGTCAAAAATAAGATTTTATAGCTTCAAAAATAGCATTTTCGGGCTGAAAAATGTTTGTAACGGTCGACCGTTCCGTTCTGAAAATTTTCTCTTCTGACGGTACCTGGTAACGGTACCTAGAGACGGTACCAGGGTCCCGTATCAGCACAGAAATTACTATTCATCATCTTCTTCATGCGGCCATTTTCCTCAAACTTCATTTTAGGTTACCAAACTTCAATTAAACTATATAGAAATGTTCTCCAAGGTTCGTAGATCATTTTAGAGGCATCAATTCGAAGTTTTAACAACAAATTCGAGGTTTATGATTCTTGGTTCCTCAAACATGTCAAACACAAAACTCAACCAAACAACCATTTATGAACATAGAAACGATCTATACGAACATTCTAATCACTAGATATATCTACGGGCTTACCTCGTAGATTAACGATGATTCCAGCGATTGGACGGTGAAACTTCCGGCGAACACCACGGCTTGCTCCGGCGACTTTGGCGGCAACAAACTATTGCAAAATGCTCTCCTCACTCTTAGGATTCTAATGGGATTAATTTTATAAAGAATGGTGCAGATTTAAAGATTTTTATTATTCCTTATATAGAGTTGGTGAGGGGGAAGAAGACGCAGGATGCTGATGATTGATCGGCTAGTGCGCTAGGAGGCGCCGACTGAATAGTTCTCTGATTGGGACCAATTTTGTTTCCAATCGGGGCACACTTTTTGGTCCAACTTTCTCAGAATTAAATTCTATTTGCACCGTTGCGATCGAATAGTCGAACTCTATTCAATGATATACTTTTCATAATTATTTGTGATACTTTTTCCGACATCATATTTTTGGGTGTTTGACTTTGACAGAATCAAAATTGATTTATTTGACCTTTATTCAAAAAGGTTCTAACATTTAATTCATATCATTTGTTGTCATGATTTATTTCAATAAATCATTTTAAAGTTCATATTATAAATAATTTCTTCATTTATTCTTGATTTGGGTCTGTACTCAAGTTCTTAATCAAGACCACACAAATAGTCAACATATTGGATTTATCTCTATGAGACTTATCCAGATTTTGATATTGGATATTAAAACATATTTCATATCGGCCCAAAGCCCAACAATAATTTATTTTAATCAAAACAAATTTGATTAATTGAACAATTATTCAATAATAACTCTAGGGTATGTTTTGGGGCGTTACATGGATGATAACTCCAGTAGAGAAATTTCTAACGAGTTCTATCATGGATAGATATCGAGTCCAACTTTGTCATAAAAGAGAAAAATGTTTTATTCTTCAAAGGCCGTGTTGTTATACCAATTTGTGAGCTAAAGAAATAAAACACACCAGCCAGCATAGCCTGGATTAGTAAGTTTGTGAATTGGGTTGCGACATAATTTGGTATCCTCATGCAAAATATTTAAAAAACCATTTTAAACAAAATATTTTCACTGCTCCCACCGAACTTAAAATCTTCAAGGAAATGAGCATCTTTGGTTTCTACATTTCCAGTGACGTGGGAAGAACAATAAAATCTACAACCCTTTGAGTTTGAAGGATAACCAATGAATTAGCAACTTACATTTTTCATGTCAAGCTTCTTTAAGAAGGGATTATAAAGTTTAGCTTCGGCGAGACAACTTCATACTTTCATATATATTAGACTCGGCTTCCTTCTTGTCCAGAGTTCATAAGGATTTTTAGGGACATCTTTAGACGGAACCCTATTGAGTATTTGAACGGCTGGCTTTAATGTCTTGGTCCAGAGAAATATAGGTCAACCTGAGTTGGCTAATATACTACGTACCATGTCCATTAGGAACCTATTTCTCCTCTCAGCAACATCGTTCTGTTGAGAAATACCAGGCACAATATATTGGTTCACAATCCCCTGGCCTTACAAAACTCATAAAATGGAGTAGGAGCTTGACCCACATTATCATGNTTGCGTGGGACTCATGCATGCACAACTTCACAGGGGAATCGAACCCGAAAGGGATTGAGTTTGACTATTTCCTAATCTGAGTTGATATCTTTTCCTTTAATGTAAATTGAAGATTTGAAGCCACTAGAATTGGTTTTCTATTTTGTTTATTCTTGATTCCCTATATATAGAAGGGAAGTTCTTTGTATTTAACAGAAACAGAGAATATACAGAATATTTATTCGATATCATTTTTCTATTCTATTCTTTATAAGTAGGGAGAAAGACCAAAGTAGGACTAAAACATTGAAAATATACCAAAATAAGACTTCCATGTTTTTATTCTCGAAATTGGACTTACATTATCATACATGGTCATATACATTACCAAAAAAGTATAGTAATTTAATTTGCACATGTACACTGCCACATTACAACAGGGCAAAATCACATTACCACAGTACAAAGTCCTATTTCGAAAAAAAACATGAAAATCCTATTTTGGTACTTTTCTCTATGTTTTAGTCTCATTTAGGGTGATTTCTATTTTAAGTAATGGTATAGTCACTAATAACCTAGACATAAACTATACAAACTTACTATTTGTGTACTTCCCAAGTGAATAAAATAATTTTAAATAATTCAAAAATAAAAATTAAAATATACAAATAGGTAAGTTTGTGAAAGTCGTGTCCACATTGTTTGTGACTCCAACATTACTCTTTCTTTATTTAATTTTTATTTTCTACAGTATTATTCAAGCCACTTCATTCTATTTTTCATTCTTTTTCTGCTTATTTTCTTTCTTCATCAAAACAAAGAAGAGATAATAAATAGAATGAAGTTCAAATCGTAGGCAAATGATGAAAACTATGACACCCCAATATTGGTAAATGATTCCAAATTGATGTTTGCAGTCGGTCATGAACTTATGATTCCGTGGAATATTAGGTGAAATGCGA